TTATTAAAGTTGTATTCCTTGTGTAAGTACTTCTATATTGTGATCAGGTCATGCTTTAACCTTTCTAATTGACTAAACAGATTGTGCTTCTAGATTCTGTCACTATAATAAAGCATATTTTTAAGCCTTTTTCCATTTTTCTGGCTCTTCTCTGATCCTTCTCCAATTAATCAACACCCTTCTTAAACTGTGTTGCTAGAATTGGCTAAAGTATTCCAGTACTAATTAAACCAGGGTCAAATACCAGGTAATATAACCTCCCTACTCCTACTTTAGTTTCCACTGTTTATAAACTTAAGAATTGCATTAGTCTTTTTGGCACTAAAAACTCTATTTCAGCTGCTTGTTCATCAAGCCTTTTTCAGTGTCACTTTTTCCCAGGGTAGAATACTACATACTATAAGTATGGCTTACATTCTTTGTTCTTAAGCATATAATTTTACTGTTTTGTCGTAAAAAAAAAAAAAAATCCCATGACACTTTTTTAAAAGATTAATTATTTCTTATTTGGTACCACACACACTAAAATTCCTTACTCCAAACACATGGTTATTTCATGTCATTACAAGGTTAAATTTCTCTCTATAGTCACATATTTAGAATTAGAATTTCGTGGGCTTATAAGGTTGTTTGGGGATTGATTACTGTAGCTTTGTTTTAAATTACACTATAAAAGAAACTTTATAATTACACTATATAAGTAATTAGACTATATAAGTATTTTAATACAGTTTTGATTGGAAATATTTGAAAGGCCCATTCTGTAAATTTTATTCATGTACCTAGTACTATTGAGGGTAAACCCATTATCTTGGTAGAACTACTTCTGAGAATAAGATTTACAAAATGTAGCACATAGCTTGAAGAAAAGTTATTTGGAATATGTTTTGTGCTACTAGTAATACATTTCACATACCATAAACCTACCCATGTCTTCATAAGTGATCTTTCAAATGTGAGAAGAGGTCACAAGTTTCAGGATCCAAACTCTACTCCATGAAGGCCCCGTGTTCTAATACGTTGGGACTTGAGAGAGTTGTTCTAGGATAAAGGTGAGGAAGGAATGGGGAACGTCCTAATAAGTAAACTATTGATCATTTCCCAAAGTGAAGCAGCAGCAAAGTGGCTAACTGACCAGTTGGCTATTTGGGCTTTGCACTTTCTACTGCAAAATTAAGCTCAAATAAATAAGAGAGCAGGTAATTATATGTTCGCTGGCTTATGGCAAGCCTTCAGACTTCTATTTTCCAAACTTAACCAGTCATTAGTAAAACCCCAACATGAAGCTCCAACTGCATTCAGCAAAAGATTTAAGTCCTGGTATTGCATTATATTACAGTGCATTAAAGGCTTCAACCTATGATGATTTGTGCTTGTTTTTACCACTATGTGCATATTTTTATAGAATGGAAACAAAGGTATGCAAAAGCGCTGTGTTCCTGTTCTCATTTAATACAGCACAAGCCTACAGAACTTAATTGATTTCAGTAGTTATTCCTGATTTACACTCAGCTAAATGAATGCTGAACTTGGCACAGAATCCCCTTCCCATCTGATTGTCTCCAAGTCGATGGTATGCTCTCCAGTCCCCTAAAAACAGCTGCCTTCTGCCCCACTTCCACCCAGCTGCAGCAGTCTGCCCCAATATGTCTGTGAACAAGCATGTCATTTTAAATACCATCAAGTATATACTTTGAGCAAAACAATTTTAATCAGTCAAATTCAGATGCAGATTACACTGGCTCAAGCCAGTTCTTGTTATCATTACTGACCAGAACTGTACAAAATATTCCAAATATGGCTATCCTAGTGCTTCAGACGGTCCTAAAATAACTTCCGCACTGTAATTAATACATCCCAGATTTTTATTTGCTGTTTTTACAATTGAGGACAATACTTAATATCCAGCGCTTTGAGGAGTTTTTTTTAATCCCTTGATATTATTTAGCTTAAATATGTAATATTAAAAAAGTTTCAGCCTTATAATATTAGGCTTGCTAGAGAAGGTCTTTAAGTGATGCTTTTTTGGCATACATCCTTTGGTTGCATGACTATTGGCTACATAATATTCCTTACTGAGGTTCACAGTTCATTTTTTCCAAGGCATTGAATATCCTCTTCATGTGACAATGTAGAAAAAGCACCAGCTTGTAAATGGGCCCTTACCTGTGTGTCATTCTAAAATGACTGAAGCTTCATCTTAAAATGAGTGACTCAAGGATGTTTGTAGTTAAAGGTTTCGTGTCCCAAAGACATGAATGTGACTCAAAAAATAGACCAGGGGTTGACAGCCCTTGGCACACATGCCAGAGCATAGCACACTAAGGCATTTTGCTTGGCAGTGCACCTTGGGGCAGACGTTGAGGAAGGGGCCAGGGCTGGACAGCAACACGGATCAGGCCCCTCGTTGCTCTCCCACCATCCACCTGGTGGAGTGTATGTACCTGTTGCTGGCAACAAGATGGACCGGAGCTCTGCAGACCCTAGTGCAACTGCTTGCAGCCTCCTTCCTGCCTGCCGCAAGCACCCAAGGCTCCTTGTCGGGCAGCAGGGGTCTGCCCAGAGCTACGGCCTGCCCAGAGCCCAGGCTGGCTGTGGCAGGCAGCTGGGAAGCTGCAGGCAGTAGCACCAGGGTCCATGGAGCCCCAGCTCAGCTTGTTGCTGGCAGTAGGTGCACGAGCACCTCTAGGCAGATGGCAGGGGAGCTGCAAAGGGCCCAATCCCTGTTGTGGAAGTGCAGCCCCGGCCCTTTTCCTGCTCTCTGCCCCGAGGTACGTGTGCATGTGCCACCAGCAATGAGTTGGGTTGGGGATGCGCAGACCCTGGTGCAGCTGTTTGCAGTCTCCCGGCGGCCTGCCACAACCAGCCCTGGCTCTGCTCACAGGAGGTGGTGGGAAGAATGCAAACAGCTGCACTGGTGTCTGGGGAGCTGTGGCCTGGCTAGTTGCCAGTGGTGAGTGCATGCACACCTCGGGGCAAATAGTGGGGAAGGGGCCTGCGTTGCACTGCCCCCTGCAGATCAGGCCCCCTGTAGCTCCCCCGCCATCCGCCCCTGGCACACTAACACCTTCCAGGCGGAGGTTGTGGGTGTTTTCGTCACTCTGCCCAAAAACAGTGCTGACGCCTGAAATAGAGAATACTTTTGCATGCGAGTGTTATGCATGCAAACAGGCAACTGTTATCCCTAGCACTACCTGATCTCCAACAAAAATATGAGTTATTCTGACCTGTACCCAGTACAGAACTTATTACAGAAATAAGCCCTGGTTATTTAGCAGTATCCACTATACAGTGCAAATTTATTATCACAAAACATTTGCCAATCCAAAGCAGATGGAGGGGAGAAGGAATGAAACCTTTCCAACCAAGATTAATTGCTAGCTTCCTGCTAGCTTCCCTTGTTCCTCTGTGGCCTCCCTGCTTTAATCAGGGCTGCCATGCCTTGATGGAATGACCTGACAAGGGAGGCTGCTTTGAGGACAAAGAGGGCTTTGCACAGCAGACCCTTGTCTGGACCAGCACCTTCCTGACTTGTCTGGACTCTAGCTGAGCCTTTCTGCTTGGGGTCCACTGCCCAGGACTGCAAATGCCTGGCTCAGCTTTGGTGATGCCCTCTTGACCTTGGGCCCCCTGGTCCCACTGTGACTCCTATAAAGGCCCCTGTGGCCGTGGGGCTCACCTTCAAAAGTTCTGAGTCTGTGTCTTTGAGCTTTGCCCCTCATGGGTGCCAGGCTTATGCTCCAGTCTGGTTTTGGTTGTACAAACAATGCATCTAGAATTTGGGCCGTCCCCAGGCACCCGTGTCAGTGGGGTCTGCCTCCCCTACAGGTGCCATCCAGTCCACTGAGGACAAAGAGAGACAAGGAACCAAAACCATATGCAACTGCTTAAGTTCAAAACGAAATGGTCCCTCTGGAGTTAGCTTCACCCTGCAGCAGTGTTTGCAAAACAGAAACCAAAGAGTCAGGGTACTTATGTTGCTCCCACTGCAAATTACAAGGTTCCCTTCCCCAGCTGCTACTCTGAGAGCCTTTCAAAAAGTCCAGCAAAGTCCCTCAAACAAGTCCTTCCAGATTAATACGACTGCTATTTACAATATAAATACATTAATGTAGCTATATTACTCATCTATAATTGACCGGGTACAAAACTCTGGGTTATTTTTGGTGAAAACAGGGTACGGGGCCTTGATTCAGGAACCAACCCCCCATTTATAACACTGTTCCTATGGGAAAATCGGTTTCAGGAGCCAATTGTGTTGCAAGCAGGGCGGCCATCAGAGAGGGCAGCCCGCTGCTCCCTCCTCTGTCCATACAAAACCTGACGCATTTATGCCCTCTGTTTTTCTCTTCAAGAGAAACATAAGAAGCCATAAAAGCATCAGTTTGTTTCTTGAGAGAAAAATAGAGGCCATAAAGGCATCTTTTCTTGAAGAGAAAAACATTTTCTTCTCGAAGAGAAAAACAAGACATAAAGGTGTTGGGTTTCTCCTTGAAGAGAAAAAGAGAGGTTTCTTCTCGAAGAGGAAAATATTTTCTTTGTGAAGCGGGAGGACATAAAGGCGTCGGGCTTCGTATCAATGGAGGACAACCGGATCGCCCTCTGCAACGACCACCCTAGTCGTAGGTAAGTCGGAGCACCACCCATACTGGAGAGCCCTCCTCAGCGTGTGGACGCTAGGGGTGCACCCGAGACCGGCCGCGTCTTTCCCGCGCGGGTCGTGCTCAGACCCGTTCTCTTCGGGAGGCCGCAAGGCGGCGGTCAGCGCCCTACGTGTCTCGGGTGCTTTGCACACCCCCAAGGGCGCTCGGCTGCGCGCGGGGAGGGGGTGAGGATGAGACGCGCCCCCTTCCCCTCCCCTCCCCAGCCGGGCAGCGGCGGGCAGTTGGCTGAGCCAGTTGCCGGCGGGCGGGGTAGGGGAGCGGGAGGAGGTGGAGCCAGCCCGAGCCCCGCCCCCCCCGGGAGCCCGAGCGGTGTCGGGAGCGCCCGGCCCGGCCCGGCCCCCCCGCGACAGTTTCTAGAAGCACGTCCCGGCGTCCTTTGCGGTCCAACATGGAGGAGCTGACGGTGGAAGTGCGCGGCTCCAACGGGGCCTTCTACAAGGTAGCGGCCGGGCGCGGGGGC